CCCTTGTATTATTTTATTCTCTTGTAGTATACTTTTATCTATAAAAATTTTAATATGATTACTTATTTCTACTTGTCTGTAATAAAGCACACATACAAATTTAAGCTTATTTTTAATGACCTGTGACCATAAGACACAAGTGCTAAAATGTTACTTCGGGATTAGGCTACTATAATGATTATTATTAAAAATAATTAAAGCAACGGATTAAAGTAAACTTTCTGATATCAATATATACATATTTTTGTATATTTAGTAGAGATGGGGTTTCACCGTGTTAGCCAGGATGGTCTCAATCTCCTGACCTTGTGATCCGCCCGCCTCAGCCTCCCAAAGTGCTGGGATTAGAGGTGTGAGCCACTGCACCTAGCCACTGATATCAATATTTTTAATGATTACTCCATTGGGATCCCTGAGAAATTTTATACCTTAGGTCCTGAGACCAAGGAAGATAAGAGACAGATTCCCCTCAGTTGTTAGTGAGAGTGCTGTCACAGTGAAAGAGATTGTAAGAACTGTGTGAGGTCCTCAAATCCTGGATTTTTCTTACAGAAAAAGAAGATATGTATATATTGAAAACCTAGAAATTATTTTCTTAAAATTTTGTATCATTCCTTTGTGTCCCTTATGCTGCTTTGTGTACCTCTAGGGATGATCAAGACTCCAGTTTGAAGATTACTTAGAGACTAAGGCGTTTGTTGGTTTCCGCTTTGTACATCTCACTGACATGGGATTCTACACGATTTTGAAATAAACACCTACTTCTTCTTCTTTATTCATAACAATAGTCACAACTAACATTTATATATCATTTTTCAATTTATGTCACCTTACTATACATTACCTCATTTTATCCTTACAAAAACCTATAGAAAGGTAGGCAAAGAAAACATTATTGTCCTTATTTCAAAGTGGGGAATTATTTTCCAAGAATATATTGCCTAGTGCCACACAGGTAGCAATAAAGCCTAGTTTCAAATTCCCCTCACTCTAGTTCCAGTTTTCCACTGAATTATACCAGACCTGGGGCTCACTTAGGAAATGACCAGATTGAATAACACAGGCTCACCTTCCTACTCAGGAATAGGAGCTGTTTGGATTTTCAAGGTGAGGGCCTTGAATGTTAGCTAATGAAGAACAACAGTTAAGCTGGAGACAGAACTGGTGAAATAAACAAAGGCTAGAAAGTAACTACCAGAAACAGAGAAGAGTCCAGAACCTTGCTGTTTCCTCATTATCCTTTGGGGAAGAGCTTTTCACCCCATCCTTTGGGAGATGATCCCAAAAGATTGACTTCGTAAACATTCCTCCCATTCCTGAAAGCAGTAATGTGAAAAGGGATGAGAGACACGTTAAGCACAGTTTGCAAGAACTGATGATGGCAAAGCTGTCTCACCCACAGTTAGTTTTGACGCTATAAAGCTTCAAAGTAATAGCCCTGTTCCCCCAAAACCAAACATCTTAACTTAAATATTGAGTATGAAGTGGGAGCATTGCATTAACATAATCTGTCACATGTGAAATTACTTTAGAATGTTTTCTTAGATCTTCTGCAAAAATATTTATTTCTGGGTCAACTTATGGTATTTCTGAAATATTTATTTGCTGTTTTTATTATATTCTATCATCAACTTCTCCAGCACAGGTCACTCAAGCAAACCTTTGGTGAGCATCTATTCTGGCCACAGGAAGGCTGATCTAACAAAAATGTGCGGATTGACATGGATGCCATGTGGGACCTCCTTTGATGCAAAGTCAAGGAGAGGGTTGATAAGGGCCTAGACAGTGGGTGATGCTTCAGTAGAAAGAAGAAGCTGACTGTAGCTGGCACTGTGTGATTAGAATATACAGGCATTTGTGGAAAAGATGTGGGAGAGCCCCATGTGAAGGGTATATACAGATCAGATGAATGAACTGAATGAAAGTATGAATTACATTTAAAGTCACCATCTTGCCATGAGGAGCTTTACTTGCTATGGAATTGAGGAGTGATTCTCACACCATTTCAGGTGACTGTCTTTATTTCTGACTTCTGTCTCACCCAGGCAGCTTTGTGTGCTCCTCCTGTTCTGCGATGCTAGGAAAAGCAGTAAATGCCTGTACTGTGTGCATGTGACACTCCTCGGAGGACAGAAACATTTCCACAGCATAGTGGAATACAGCCGTGGTTTTGTCTTGGGAAATTTGACTTTGTGTGTTGGTGCCACTATTTACCAAATGCCACCACAGCCAAAGTTCACAAGATAATAGTGAGGACAAAATAGATGCCAGAGAGTAAACAGTGAGGACAAAATAGATGCCAGAAAGAGTATTATTTGCATAGTACGCAACAGTCCAAATAATACTAATATTTTAACCCTTATGGTTTAATTTTTTATTTAGAAAGCAATACAAATACTTTGATAGAAAAGGAAAACTGAGCAATATAACACTAGGTTTGACTGAAATGAAAGTGTTTTTTTCATGTGGAATGAGTCTTGACAGGTCACCCCGTCAGCTCAATAGATTCTGTATAGCCAGAAACAGTAAACTACAAGTTTTCTAATTTAGGTCTCTTCAAAGGAGATTTACTTAGGAATTGTAACGTGACAAAATAGCAGCTCTGCTTTAGAGGACGCCAACAACATCACTGCTGGCTCCAAATAAATGGCTGCCATGGACAAGCACTCCCTGTCATTTCCTTTACTCAGCGTGCTTTTCTTTGCCTCCCCAGAGTCAAAACAATGGTAACTGAGAAGCTGGCATCAATGTGATTGACAGTAAGTATTCCAAGATAGCTAGTTGATTGATTGATGGACGATGATGAATGTTGTCTAAAAGAACAGAAAGCCGTTTCGTTTTTGAAACCATTCAAATTTGGACAACATAGGCCAAGAATCACACATTTCTAAATTTAACGAGCATGCCATTTTCAAATAAGCAAACAATGATCAAAATCCCCACCCACCAGGAATCACACACATTGATAAGTGTCAAAATAATTCAAACATCAGAAAGCTTCTTTTTCACCTGCCCAGATTCCACAAGTCCCAGTTGACGGAATGACAGTACAGAGAATACATGAATGCAGATTCTGCTAATGATAATCATAGCCAAACCGCATGCCTGTGCAGTAATTTTTCTTACTTTATCTTATTGCAAACCCTTTAGTTGGTGGCTAAGGAAGGTAATCTTCAAGATCACACAACCTAAAAGCTTCATTCTATAGTAAGTGGAGAAGATCAAAGCCTTACTAGGGAATGTCCCATGGCAAATTATTGGTGGAAACATGATGACCTTTGCCCTCATCCTTAACATTCAGTGTTTTTTTGATCTATGCCACTAAATCAGTAACAATCCCAACAGGACACAGATGTCCCACTCAGAATAGGTGGGTTTATTTTCAAAAAGAATAAACATAAGTGTGTAAGTGAACTGTAGGGGAAGAAAAAGAGATAGTATTTAAACTGGGTCTGACAGTGACAGTGCCCCACCGCAAGGTCCAGTGAAGCAAGAAATGAAAGAAAGAAATCTACAAAAAGAGACACCCACAGAAAGCGCTGCTGAAAAACAGCAGGTTGCCCTCTGTGAAGGGGCACAGCCAGCCTGAAATTTCACAGGAGTTGGGGACCAGAGAGATCAAGAGCCTCACCTCTGTTTCCTCCCAACGTCTGACCTCTCACTGGGGCTGACCACTAACTGAACCCAACTGGAAAGTAGAAGGCATGTTGACACAGTCCATGGAGTAATGCTCCTGGGGCAAAGAGCCAGTGGTATGTGAGTATGGAAGAGGAAATAGATGATATCTGGCACAAAGGCACACATTATGATTTCTCAATATATATTTTAATACATAAAAGCAAGAAAAAGACACAGGAAAAGATAGCGAAAAAGAAAGTGAGAGAACAGAATTTAACTCTAAGTCAAGCATTAAAATGCTATATGGAGGAACTTACGGGAATTTCCCATTGACCATCTGCTCTTGAATATGTGTGGGGGAATTCTAAGGGGCTTTAGGATGTAGGCGCTAGAGTCAAAAACATTTAAAGTTGCAGCTGCAGTTTATTTTTATTTGGGCAACTTGTTACCCATATTTCAACCACTGGGAAAGCTTGCTGGCTGCACTGTCAGGGCTACAGAAGACCTTCTAAAACATAGTGTATTCATCATCTCCTAACAGTCCTGTAAGGTAACTGAACCAGGTATTTTTGCTTCCATTTTACAAACAAGGAAATAGGCCCAGACCAAAGAAATGGCAACTTAACGTTATCTCATTTGCACAGGTAGTGAGTGGCCTCAAAGCAGACTGATTTCAGGTTGAGGATCCTTTGCACTCTACCTCACACCTCCTCACGTATACATAGTCATAGCTTCAAGAAGTATGATATCACTTGTCTGAACTCAATCTCTGATACAGTCAGCTGTCATACATAGGCAACTCTCTGTACCCTTACAGTCTTTCACATGATTCTGTCAGGGCACTTGGGAGTTTGAGCTAGTGTTTTGTAGCTTGCAGGCACCATTTAGAAATCTAACAGAGAGCATTTTGGTTGTCACAATGCCCAGGACATGCTGTAGAATTTAGTAGTTGGAGGCAGGGATTCTAAACATTTTCCAAAGTGTGGGTCAATATTGTACAATGAAATTGTCTTGCCCAAATATTTACCAAAATGCCTCTCATGAAGAAACACTTCAATTTAGATTGTTCCTCTAACAGTTAGCCAGGACGCTATCTAAATAAGTCCTTATTATACTTTAGTATATAGAATGTTCTCCTGAAGCATGTATAGAAAATGCAGATGACTTGGTCTCCTCTCTGAAAATGCTGATTCAGTATCTGAAGGTGTGGCCCAGAATCTACATTTTAAAATGTGTATTTCTTTACAGTAATTATACAGATAAGCTGTGGGAAACACTGGCCCAAGCTTATCAAGAGAGAGCACAACCCAAAGTTACTTACAAAATTAAAAATCTTCATTTCAAAGTTCTCTAACCTCTTCTTATTCATCTGTTCACTTACCAGTCTGCCTGTTGGCCCATCATTGGTCCATCCAATCTACATGCCCATTGAGTTCTGACACTGAGAACACATTTCTTGGTAACAGCTTTTCCTGGTCACGTCTCCTATCTTCTGTCCTTTGATTTTTAGACATGAATATCTGCAAAAATGTAGCAGGGATCAGAGATCGCTGTTTCCTAAAACTCCCCAGTTAATTTCAATATACATCCTAATTGGAGAAATAGCAGTTTAAATCTTTGCTCCTCAAAGCCTGGTCTGCAGACCAGTATTACATAAATCATTTGGGGATCTTGTTACAATGCAGATTTGGATTCATTAGGCACAGGGTGGGGCAGAGAGCCTGCATTTCTAACAAGCTTCTAGGTGATGCCAGGTGAGTGAGGCTCCTCTCCCGGTTTCTACCCCTGGACTCTGTACACGGGCTTTGATCCTCATTAACTTTGACTGCACCAAGCCTCCAAATCTCAGGGTCAAGAATATTGGCTACAGAAAGCCTCCCACCTAGCCCAGACCTGCAGGGGATTTGTTAAGGGACTGTGTGAGACTCCATAGGCTAAGAAGTTTATGATTAATTTTATAGCAATGGAAAATTGTAGGAAGTCGCTACAGATTATCAAGCAGCCACATCTCTGATATGACAAAATGACAAGCTACCACCCCTGTTAACTGCCCCGCCCACTCTCTGAATATGTGTTATGTTTTTCTACCAGTATCAATATGATGATTGTCAAACATCTGGCTGCTGAAAGAATGGTCATGAAGGAAGAAAACTTTTGTCACTATCTCTCTGTTTTGTTTTCAGCACCCCAGCCAACCCCAAAAAACAACACTCTGCATCTTCGCTTCTTGGGAAGTTCTTGTGAGCTCTATCCTTAAACAGGATGAGGAGCTGTTCCTCTCTAAAACCATCTTTGCCTGGAAGAATTAATTATTCCCTGGAATCTAAGATCTGACTATAGTCACCATACTACCTATTATTTTATGTTCAACAGGGTATCTATAAATTCTGGGGACATGAATGATATTACATTATCAGTTTTATATATTGGGGATGTTCTTGACATGCATATATTATTAGGTATATATGCTTATGTTTCCAAACTTTATGGATGCACCATATTTTTTCATGCAAAGTCTCTTGTGGACTGTATATCACTAAAGTTCAGGGCTTTGTCTGACTTATTTTTCTAGTCTCAGCATCTAGCACAGCTCTCGGCACATTTTTGAAGTCCAGTATATGTTGTTAACTTTTTAAAAAATTACATAATTATAAATTTAGAATAGGAAACTTTATGTTTTTATAAAAAGGTTCCTTCAAAGTGGTCATCCTGCAGGCTGAGAAGCACAGGCCCTTCAAACGAGATTGGGTAAGAGCTTTATGCTGAGTGTATTGGCTAAACATACATATTCAACAGGTTACAAGAGGAGGTGAATATTCATGAAGGTGGTCCAGATGCATGTGTATTGAACAAACATGCATGTTACATATGACCCATGTTCATATATAGAACAAAGAAAGAAAAAGATGGAAGGAAGGAAGGGGAGAGAGAGAGAGAGAGAGAGAGAGAGAGAAAGAAAGAAAGGAAGGAAGGAAGGAAGGAAGGAAGGAAGGAAGGAAGGAAGGAAGGAAGGAAGGAAGGAAGGAGGGAAGGAAGGAAGGGAGGGAAGGAAGGAAGGGAGGGAAAGAAGGAAAGAAAAGAAACAAAGGAAGGAAGGAAAAGAAAGGAAAGAAAAGAAAGAAAAGGAAAGGATGGAAAGGAAAGGAAGGAAAGGAAGAGAAAGAAAAAGTTCACCTTGGAGTAGAGACAATATTTAAATGTATTATAATTAGTCCCTATCCATCGAAAGGTCTTTTGAGGACACAAAGGCATTCCAGTCAGTGCACAGCCTCTGTAAACCAACCAGAGCCAGTCCATGGTCAGTGGTCTTCTTATCAGAAGGAAGTTACTGAAATCAGTCACTTGTCAAATCAAAGCTATAGTTACAGCAGGAAAAACAGTGAGGTCAGCGAGTGTATGGTGGTGAGCTGTAAATTGTCTTAATATTGCTTTTTCAAGACCAGTGCTTGTTTAGATGCTAAAGAAAAACCTTTTGGCATGGTTAGAACATAGTTTATTCTTTAGTGCAGGGGTGTGACTTAACTCTTGCCTGGCATGGCCTTAGGTTCTGTTTATAACTTGATATTCTATTGTCATAAAGAGTCTGTTCTGTCAGTCTTATGATTTGTATTTTAACATTAATGCTGGTCAGTTATGCCTAAACTACAAAAAGGAAGGGGTATAACAGGCTATGTTTGACCTCCCGTCCCATCACGGGTCATGGTTGGAAACTCAATTTTTAGGTTTTTCTGGAATCCCTTGGCCAAGAGGGGGCCTGCTCAGATGGTGGGGGCTTAGGATTTTATTTTTTATTTACAAGGTCATCAAAATGAAATGTAAGTTGATTGCTTTTAATGATGCCTTTGTCAATAGATTCAACTGAAGAAATGATGGGGATACAGAACACAGATCCTATCAAGTGTCACTTCACATTTAGGTGCAGAAGAAGCCTTCCCATCGTCTTGGGCAGCAGCCTCCAGGCTCTTGTCTCCAGAAGTAACTTCGGTGTTAGGTTGTTTTGTGGCAGATGGATAGAGGCCTCTTCAGGATAGTTGTAAAGGGTAGTAGGCTACAGAGATGCTTGAAATATGATGCATTGCCCGGTAGTCAAAATTCCAACTTTGAAGTTAGAAGCCTAAGGCCTTTTACCCACAGATGCCAAAAAAGGATATAATCCCAGAAGGTCAGGCTGTCCCAATCCTTGTAAATGGATATACGTGAGAGGGTGTGGTCTCCCTCGCTGTCATTCATAACTTTCACTTGGACAGGAAAAGCCTCTGTGAACATGTTAAAATAAAACTTCCCCCAGGCTAACCAATTGTAGGAGAAATGCCTGTGGGTAACCAAACCCAGAGTCACATCACTAGTAAAATGATTCAGTAAAATGAGTCAGTCTCTCGTTCCATTTCCACACCAAGGCAGAAGAGAACAGCCACCTGTGGGCTGTTAAGTCAGCACAGCGTCTGTGTAGCCAGAAAAAAATGCAAACACAAGGAATTCGCCTCCTTCCAGGAGTGCCCTTGTAGGTTGCACTCATCCTGCTGAGCTACGTCCAGTTGCATCTCTAGGCAGGACAGCTGCAATTCCCAAGAATCTGAGTACTAACAAGTCCTTGAATCACCTGATTATGAAACTCATAAAGTGCTGAGATAGCACAGGGATGGGTTTTTTAATTCTATTGTACGAGTAATGTATGCTCAATGTAGAACAATTAAATACAAATAAGAAAAGAATCAAAGAAGAAAATAAAACCACCTGAAAGAAAAGCTCAAGTAACAATTTTAATGAACATTTTGGTGTATATCCTTTAAGATCTTATGCGTTATGTATGTATGTACGTATGTAACATATATACACAAAACTGTATATATAAAATCATATTTATATCAAATGTGAGATAATGTTATACATAGTTTTAAATCTGCCATTTTCATTCCACAATTATATATCATTAAAGTTATCTATGACAGTTAATAATATTTCATTAAATAATCGTTATGGTTGCTTAGGACTCTGTATCTATGTAAATAACTGATTCATTCTTATTAGACGTATAAGTTATTTTTTTAAATGTATTATAAACAAAGTTGTGGTAAATAATTTTCTTAGCTACATCTTTCCACATGTATTTCAATATTACCTTAAAATGAATTATTAAAGTAGAATTGTGAGGTCAAGAGACAAGAAGGGTCCTGCCAAAAAGCCCTCCAGAAACTGTGTGCCCATTTACTCCTATCAAATTATTTGAAAGTCCCTTTATTTCCCCACAATACGTTCTCCCAGACAACCATTTAAAAATCTTTAAATTTAAAAGGGAATATATCTTATTTGAATTTTCATTGTTTGATTACTGGTGAGGTTATTATTGTATTTTTTTTTGCCATTTGAATTTTCTTGTGAAATTTCTGTTCATGACTTTGGCCTGTTTATTCTTCATGGTATTATCATTTTCTCATAGATGTGTAAAAAATATACTTTAAAGCCAACAATCCTGTGAAATAGTTATTGAATATGTTTTCCTATTAATCTCTAGTTTTTAAACATTGTTAATAATTTTTTTTTTTTTTACTATAGAAGCACTGCTTTTTAATGTGGCAAATTCATCAATTTTATTCACATAGTTTCTGCCTTTGGTATTTTAACTTACGTAACAGAGTTCCTGCTGAAACTGAAAAACTAAAGCTAGAAAAACTACCATTTTAAAAGGTAGGTATTGCCTTATTTTGAAGAGATTCCCCCAGATACTGACTAGCTATGAAAATGCGAATAAAATATTCTTCTTCATTATTTACAGTTCATGGCCAAGTAAGTCCTATTACAGGGAAGTAAACTGGTAAGTGCAACCAAGTGACAGGAAGTTGCCAAGTGACAGGAAGTTGCCAAGACAAAGATGCTCAAGAAGAAAATCTCTGCATAGCATCTGGGCTTATAAACTGTGAAAGCAGCCTAATAATGTACTTCTGAATGTTTAGCTGCTGGCTCTTTTGTGAAAAAAAGGTGCATATTTTTATGTACATAGCTTATTATAAATTTTAATGATATAATATTTACATAGCACAAAATCATAGATAATAATAGAATGTACAATAGAATTCCATTATGAGTTTTTGTTAAACTCTTGTATAGCCAACCCATGGTTGCAATTGATGGGTGAATATAACTCCAGTATGAATATTGATCAGTATTGTTTAGTGAGTAAGACAAAAGTGAAACAACAAAAATATTCCTCAGAACTCTGGTTTGTCAATGACCCAAGCCGCTTAGGCATTGAATCAAATAATAGTTTTCAAATACCGAAATAATATTTTCTCAGTTTTTGGTGCTATTCACAATACAACGAACAAAGACACAATGCAGTTTTAATCTGCATTATAAACACTTTCTCCATCACTTCCTTGTCAACAAAACAATAAATTAAGCCTTTATTTGTACTATTTGCTCATTTTTGTGTTGTAAATATTCCCACCATGGCTGATTTCAAGATGCTAACCTGCTGTCATGGAATGTGAGTTTGTAAGAGATGCAAACCTCAAGAGCACAG